CGTGATCCACCCACCTCGGCCTCCCAAAGTGCTGGGATTACAGGCTTGAGCCACCGCGCCCGGACCCAAAAGCTGGGCATCTTAAGAAAAAAGAGCACAAGAGTAATAAACTGGTATAACAGCAGGAAACCTCAAGGCTGACTATCTGGAAGGACTCATGCAGTTACCTGGGCTATGAGATACAAGAGTGGAAAAGGGGTGAAGAGCCCCCTTTGCTGGGAGGAGTTCTGAAGAAGGGGTACATCTCTCACTCACTGCTCTGGGCTATAGTCTGCAGCAGAAGAAGAGACAAGGTGACCTCTGGTGAACCCTTACCCTTGGGGACTCAAGGGTCCTTTCAGGATCAGGATTATTTTCCAGGCTGAGAATAAGGATCTTGGCCTTTCTCTCCTCTGTCTCTGGTAAGCAGCAGGGACACAATCCTCCACCTCTCTAGGGGGAAAAAGGACAATTTATAGAATTGTTCTGCCGTTCTTAGCCCTCATTGAGACAAAGAATTCACTTCTGTCTCTCAAGGTGGCTTCTCCTGCTGATGGTCATAAATTGCCTTCCTGCTCACTCCCTGACCTCTTGATCTTTTTGCTTTTGTGCTCAAAAAATTATTAATATTTCTCTTAACTCCATATATAACCTTTGGCTGTTTCTCTCCTTTTTTCTAGGTGAAGTAGCATCCTCAGGGATTACTTCCTCCGCCTCTGCGCCTGCCTGCTTCTGTCGGGGCAGGCTGTGTGCATGAGGATGAAGACAAATCCACAGGAGGAGGATTCAAAAGATCTCTGTTTGGGGAAGCTCCAAAACTGAAAAATAATCACAGCTAGCATTTACTGAGCATACACTGTATGCCTAGTATTATTCTAAGAGCTGTGTGGATATGAACTCAATCCTCACAACTACCCATAATGTAAGTACTGCTATTATCCCAGTTTTCATAGGAAAAAAACAGGAACTACAGATGTTAACTACATAAAATGTCTAAGGTCACACAGAAAGGAAGGGGCAGAACGTAGATTTAGATCCCTGTCTAGTTTCAGGGCCCATGTGCTTTGCTATCAACTACTCTGTCAGGTACCTCTCTGACAGGGAGGGGCTTACCCAGCTTTTGCTCTGCCCTCAGGGAGCTCCAGACTGGGGAGACATGCATATTCCTTGCCCCTCAAGAATCCCCAAGTTTGACAGGGGAGGCAGGTATCCTGTCCTAGGAAGGTATGTCCAGTCTGATAGAAAAGACAGAAGCTTTATCTTTGGATCATCTGACCGATACTAAGGACTCAGCCCCAGGATGTCTGCAGTTTGATGAGTTATGTTATTAGATTCCAGGAGACTCAGTTAATTTGACTAGACCAAATTGTCAGCGTTAGTGCTAGAGAGATGAGGATGGAGCAAAGTTGGGGCAGCTTAATTGGGGTTGCCCCCAGGAGGGGAGGGTGATATAAGCTTGGCAATAAGCAGAAGAAATGCTAGAAGAGAGAAGCGGGCAGGACTCTTGGTGGTGTGCAGGCTTGCCAAAGACAGTATCTGGAAAGCAGGGATTTGCTTAGCTGAGTAGTTCTCCAGCCTGGCTGTCTACTAGAATCACCTGGGGCTATGTCTGAAAATACTGATGCTTGGACTTCACCCTAGAACAATTCATCTTTAGGGATGAGGGCATGGTACTGGTGTTTTTTTTAAAGCCCTCAGGGCCAGGCACGGTGGCTCACACCTATAATCCCAGCACTTTGGAAAGCCGAGGAGGGTGGATCGCCTGAGGTCAGGAGTTCGAGACCAGCCTGGCCAACATGGTGAAACACTGTCTGTACTAAAAATACAAAAACTAGCCAGGTATGGTGGCATGCGCCTGTAATCCCACCTACTTGGGAGGCTGAGGCAGGAGAATGGCTTGAACCCAGAAGACAGAGGTTACAGTAGGCTGAGATCATGCCACTGCACTCTAGCCTGGGAACAGATCAAAACTCCATCTCAAAAATAAAATAAAATAAGGCCCTCAGGAGATGCTACGCACAGCTGGTGCTGAGGACCAGTTGCTGGGGATGACGTCTATGGGGTCTTAAGCTCTGGGATCTGGGATGCTGGATGGCTTATATGGAAGAGATTCTAATGATGTGAGTTTCCAGTGGATTGAGCTGGTGAGGATTTGAAATTAAAGGAAAGGAAGAAAGAAGACAGCTAAAGGACCAGAGGAGACAGGCCAGATTGTTGCTTTGGCCACTAGTTGAACTAGAGAGACTTGGCTCCTCTGTTTCTAGGGTTTCCAGGTAAAATGGAAGGCCCACAAAACTCCAAAAGCTTTAATAACCCAGTCTTTTCTCATAAAAAAAAATATATATATATAGCTATCAAGCCTGATACCAGACGTGGAGATTAGGCAGGAAGCACTGAGCTGAGAATATTCCCTTCCTTTGATTAAAGACTTTTTAAAAATTGATACTTTCCTAGGCCAAGTGTGGTGGCTTATGCCTGTAATCCCAGAACTCTGGGAGGCCACGAAGGCACACCACTTGAGGTTAGGAGTTGAAGACCAGCCTGGCCAACACGGCAAAAACCCGTCTCTACTGATAATACAAATATTAGCTGGATGTGGTGGCGCATGCCTGTAATGCCAGCTACTGGGGAGGCTGAGTCACGAGAATCACTTGAACCCAGGAGATGGAGGTTGCAGTGAGCCAAGATTGTGCCACTGCACTCCAGTCTGGGTGACAGAATGAGACTCCATCTCAAAAACGAACGAACCCCCCCCCACACACACACACAGACACACACACACACACACACACACACTACTTTCCTAAGTCAGGGTCAGCCTGGACCTCTTCTCCATGTCCCATCCCGTGGAGTGGAAAGGAGAAAAGCCTGTCTTGCTGACGTGTCCAGAGCACCGGCCTCAGGGCCTTTGCATTTGCTGTTACCATCTGCCTGCTGCATTCTTCCCTCAGATGCCGGAGTAGCTGAACCCTCAATTCCTTCGGGTCTGTGCCCAAATGTGGCTTTAGCAAAACAGCTTTCTCTGACTACCTGTAAGAACAGTAATTCCTTCTCCCTCTCCCTAATCCATATCCTGCTTTATTTGTCTCCCATAGCATTTACCATGACCTAGTGTATTTTATCTTTTTTCTGCCGCCTCTCACTTTCTTCCAGAACATTAAAGGGAAGGACTTTGTCCATTTTTTTTTTCATTATTGTCTCCCCAAAGCCTAGAATGGTGGCTGGAAAATAGCAGCCTGGAGCTGAAGAACTATCTGTGGCATGTATGATTAATGAATGAACAACTGAAAAGCCCTGTTTGTCTGTGAGTTGGTGTCTGCCTGTGTATGTGTGAGATTGCAGTCCTGTTTCTCTGGGCGAGGTATGGCTCTATTCTTAAACCATGTGTTTGCCTGTGCTTTGGAACATGTGAGGAATTCTCTGGGTCTGTGCATCTGGGGCTTCTGCATGTGAGCTTGGATGTTTTCCTGCCTTTCTCTGTCCTCTAGTTGCGTGTGGACCGCAGGCTGGTGTTAGGATCTGTGGAGGAAAAAGGAGCTGTGGCCGCTACACATCAGCAGAGGGCACCAGAGAGCTATGCACCTACTTTCAGGGGGGCAGAAATTAAGAAATCTTCGCGGGGAGTGTTAGAGACCCAGGAATTCTGGTATCTGGGAGGAGGGAGGTGGAGACCTCTTTAGACCAGCACATTACTGTCAACTTGTGCAATTCCTGCAACTCCTCTGTTCATTCCCTAAGGTCCAGACCCTCCGGTATTCCCAGCGCCCTGTGAACAGAAGCATCTGGTTAGGGGTGAGAAGAGGAACTGGTTGCCAAACTGGGCCCTTAAGAAAGTGGAGATCCTTCCTGAATGCTCTTCCTTCCTAGTTCCTCCGTCCCTACCCCAAAAGATCTCAAACTCCAGCGTGCTTAGAGACCCTCTGGTGGCTGTCCTCTCCTCTGGCTTGCATTCAGGGAAGTGAGGCCAGGCCTTGGCCCTTCAAAGCCATCCAGTTGGCTAGCTGCTTCTCCATCGGGATGGGTGGAAGGCTAAGATGAACAAAGGACGGAGTCAAGTGTGTCTCTTCCAGGCTGCTGAGTCCTCCAACGCCTAGCTGTGCTCCACCTTGTCTGGGTGAAGCCAGGGCAGGGTCTCAAGGTAGCTCCAAGGGGCAGCTCCGATTCTCCAGCTCTGGGTTTTGTGGGTAGGGAGAGAGGCAGGTATGCCCCTCCCCTCTCCAAGGTTTCATTAGTCAACTGAGAAATCTTAATTTGGGGAATTTAGGGATTAGACTTTGCGTGTGGGATTTAAAAAGAAAGGTCTTTATGTTTATTTAACTCCCTGCCCCCCCACCCCACCGCTTCTAGACACACACACGGAAACACACACACACACACACACACACACACACACTCCCCATCCTCTGAGCTAGAGGCTGATGTCCCTCAGCCGTGTTCCTCCTCCACTGCTTAGTTCCATCGCCCGCGACCAAGACTGCGTCTATAAATGGGAGGGGGTGGGGTGGACAGGGGTCCCGTTGTGCCTGCTCCAGAGCCCACGACGGTCACGTTGTTCACCCGCTTTGCCTTTGCCCTCAATTCCTTTCTGTCTTTGCTCTCCTTCCATCTCAGTTCCAGCGAGGGGTGTGCGTGTGTGCGCGCGCTTTGGGGGGGAGGGCAGGGGGAGGGCCCGTGAAGGGAGGCGCCGTCGGAGGGAGAGTAGACGTCAGGCGGAGGGAGGGAGGCAGGGAGGCAGGCAGGCAGGGAGGCAGGGGGAGAGAGGGAAGGAAGAGAAGGGGAGAGAAGGGGGTTGCAAAAACCGAAAGAGACCCAGAGAGTTAAAGCTTGAAAGGAGAAATAATTAAAGGGGGAGGGCGACCGGGACGAGAAAAAGGACTGGGAGGAAAGAGAGATAAAGAGAATCGGAGGGCAGGGAAGTGAGTTTGTGCGCGTGAGTGTGCGCGCGCGCGCGTGTGTGTGCAGGGGCGGGCGCGGGCGGGCGGGGGGCGGGCTCCCGGGCTCCCCTCCTCCCCAGCCCGCTCCTCTCGCTCGCTCGCCAACTCCGGGCCCCAGCCGCGGGCGGGCGCACGGCGGGCGGACAGCATGCTGAGCCTCCTCGTCTGGATCCTCACTCTCTCCGATACTTTCTCCCAAGGTAAGGGCCCCCAGCCCGCCCGCGGACGCTTGGCTCCCCGCCGGGGCCCGGGCACTGCGCCCCCGCTGGGGGAGTGCGGGGGTGCCCGGCGGCCCGCGGCCAGCCTCCGGGTCCGGACGCCACGAGGCGGGGGCTCGGTCTGGGCGCAGAGCCCCGGGGGCGGGGGCGCGGAGTAACGGGGGCCTGGGGAGAATGAGTTTTCCGTTGATTTGCCCAAGTTGTTTCCTCTGGCTGCGCGGGAGAACCGAGCCTTGGGGCCGCCTGGGCTGGAGGTCCGAGTGAAGCGGGGAACCGAACGCTTTCTCCCGAGCTTCTGGCAGCCCTGCCGACCCTCGTCCTCTGAGGCCGGGGTTCCGGACGCCCGAGTCCAGGCTAAGGGGAAGGCTGGGAAGAGGGTGGGATTTCGGATTTCGGGCGCGGGGGTGAGCGGAAAGCTGGGTCCCACCTCTCGAAGATGTTGCTGAGGGGATCCCTCTACTCCAGCCCACCCCCTCGGGGGACTGAGTCTGAACCGCGGCTCCAGGCTGCCTGGGGCTGCCCCCTCTAGAGGATGGGAGGGGTGTCTCGGGCCCCTCCTTCTAGAGGAAGGGATTTGGAACCCCTGCCCGCGGAGGCTTTGAGTGGAGAGTGGAGTTCCAAATACAGCTTCAGGCCCGCTTGATACGGAGGGGGGAACTCACCGGGGCGGGGGCGGGGGCGGCGGAGGGAGGGGGCTGACACTCTACTTGGGCTCAGGAAAAGTGTTGATGTCTGGGGTTATTTGGAACTGGCAGGGGAGAGGCTGGGAGGTGAGGGAGGTGGTTGAGAGAGGTGAGGATGTCAGTGTATCCTGGGCAGGGCTGGGGTTGGGGGAGGGAAGAGGGCTGAGGGAACCAAGGGTCCAGAATGCAGCAGGGACTGGGGTCTGTGGGAGTTGGTTCTTGCCTCCCAGGTCTGGTTCTAAGGCAGACTGAATCCTGCTGAACTCCTTCCCTCCCCAAAAATGGAGCTGACACACAGAAATTGACACACAAACACCGTAAAACATTCGCAGACACTGAGACAGACTACTCACCTACTGAGACAGAGACATTCCCGCAAACATCCCCCACACTGAGACAGACACATATACACAAAGACACTGAGACATCTGAGGAAGACAGATTCCTCCCCCAGATCCGTGCACACATTCATCCACCCAAACGTTACAACTACACACAGTACATGTATGCAGGCGTTTACAAGGACAGGCCACACGCTCGCTCAGAAACCAACCCTCCAGCAAACAAAGAAACTTGAACAGACATTCATAAGGGCAGACACCTATGGAGATGTGCAGACTGCAGATGGTGGAGGTGGTCTCTTTTAGGGGGTGTCTGGGAATGGATCTGGGTAGAGCAGCCTCAGGCATTATTGCCCTGCTTTCAGTCCCTTCCTGCGTTTGTAGGTGCGGTGTTATGCTGGACCTTTCCTCTCCTTGCCAAAGGAGCTCCAAAGGCAAAGCTTGGCTGAGTTGGTGGGGGCAGGTCTTGATTCGTCTCTCCCCATAGGGCACCCATGCCAGCCCCCCCAACACACATATGGGAAGGGCACACATCTGTGGTGTGAGCCAAGAGTGGGAGGTGGTGCTGGAGGAAAGGAGGAGGCCTGGCCCTGGGGTTGGCAGGCCAGGCCAGCCACTTGGCAGAAAGTTGGGAAGATGACTGAAGTTCTGACTTTGTTCAGCCAAGCTGCTGGTGACGGGGAGGAAGGGGGGCGGGCCGTGGTGGCGGTGGTAGAGGGGGCCCCGGGGTCGGTATTGGTTTATGTTGGGGGCAAGCTTGTATCTGCCCCTTTCTTGCAGTCCTTGCAGGTCAGCAGCATGGATACAAAGCAGCAGTTAGCAAACAGGAGAGACATGTGGATTGAATCGGGGATAGAAAGAAGTGTGTGCTGTGTGCCTTTCCCTCTGGAGAGGAGTGAGAGGCTAGGGAATGCTGAGCTCCCACCTCCCTGCTCCAACAGGGATGAAAGCAGGACCTGGCGAAAGTATCTAGGGTGGGGGGAGAGGATACCAAAGAAAAGGGTTAGACTAGACAGGAGGGGAGAGAAAGCACTCGTGAGTGTTCGGGGGAAGCTTGGCAAGGGACTGGGGAGGAGGCCAGGAGGGAAGGAGTGGGGGTCTGGGGAGACTGGGACACACACGGGGGTGGAGGGCTTGGCAGGCCCCCTTTCCTCAGCCTCCATCCTCAGAAAGGAGTTCCAGGTCAGGGACTGGGGCAGTGGGAGAGGGAACGGAGAGGGGCGCTACATCAGGGAGGAGGGATGGGGGCTGGGAAGTGGGGATGGGGGAAGTAGGTGTCAGGAAGAGGCCATAGAATTGGGGGGGGGCGAGCAGAGAGGCGAGGGGAAGGGGAGACTCAGCCTAGGCTGAGAAATAAAAATTGCATTTTAAAGAATTTCAATGGGCTTCATCAATCTTCATTTTTCACTAAATAATTTTCTGTATCTTATCTAAATGAAAACCATTATCCTTCCCCCCGTTTCCATCATGTGCCGGCTCCACAGACTGATTGCGCCGAAAATTGAAATATTTATTCATTTTCTGGGAGATTTTCTCGCTCCCTAGTCTCGGGGAGGAGAAATTGAAAAAGAAAGATTATAGCTAATCAGAGCAATGTGGGATGACAGGCCGGCTCGGGGCGGGAGCTGCCTCCAGAGGGGGGATGGATGTGGGGGCAGGAGAAAAATAAGCCCAGCCAGTCCCCAAAGCTACCCCCGCCGACCCCCCCCCGCCCCCACTTTCCTGTCATAGCTTTTGAGGGGGGTAAAGGGTAAAGGGAAGAGGCCCAAGGGCCTCCTAAATTCCCAGGATTCAACTCCCGGAGTGCAGCTGAATCCCGGCAGAGAACAGCGGAACAGTGGGTCTGGAGAGTGGCTGGGCACCCCCCTCCGGGGGCAACACACAGACACATACGTACGCTTCAGATGTCCCACTTCTGCCCAGAGCAGGGCACTGAGATGGGGGAAGAAGCAGGGGAGACACGGCAGAAACCAGGACACTGGGTTCCTCTCCTTGACCTTGACTGGACTCCGCTTTCTGACTTGTACTCACTTAGACCCAACGGGAGGGTGTGAACCTAGGACCCGGAGCCTCAGCCCTGGGCCCCAGAGCACCCGGAGGAGGCGTCCAGGCCTTCTGGCCCCTGCGCCTTCCCACAGCTGAGTGGTTGGTTGTTCTGGCTCTGCCTTGGGTGCCCCAGGGAGATGAGAGTAAGCCCCACCTCTTCCCCAGCCCTACTCCTCTAGGACCTCTTTACGTCCTTGCAGGGACTAAGTCTTAATTTCTGGTCTGGCACAGTGCTAAGCATGTGGTAAGTGCCCCTTAAAAACCTTATCAATTGATTGTGCTGCGGTGCTGGAAAGAGGCAGCATTCAGTGGCGATTAAATCACAGACTCGCATCCAGCCCTCACCTCCAGCACTTGGTAGTCATAAGCTTGAGCAAGTCATGTGTCTTCTCTGTGCCTTGGCATGCTCTTCCAGAAGTGAGAATAGAAGTCATACCTCCTCAGGTTGTGGTGGCACTTGAATATGTTAATCCACGTAAGGTGCATGGAACAGCATCAGGCACAGCGAGAAGTGCTCAGTTGCAATCTTGACTTTGAGGTGAGACAGACAGGCATTCGAGTTGTCTGTGTTTTTTCTTCTCTTTATGATTCGGCTGTGTGTGTGTGTGTGTGTGTGTGTGTGTGTGTGTATGTGTGTATGCGCGCGCGCTTGGTCCTGGGCTTCAATAACCCTCTTCTTTGTATCTCTCCTGGAAAGAACTGGGTTGTAGCCGACCCTGAAGGAGAAACTGATCCCCTCCTTGAAGATCTCAGAAAAGATCTGGGGAAGGGATCTGAGGAGAGAGAACAACAGTGGAGGAGGTTGGCATTCGAATGAGAAGCAACCAGAGCTCTTGTGTGAAACACGGAGGGACCCTAGCCCCGAGGTAGCAGCATTTCGGAGTCTGAAAATAATATGGATCATTTATTGAGCCCTGTGTTAATTACTTCATATGCATTATTTAATTTAATCCGTGCTACAACCCCCTGAGATTGGCTCTGTAATTAACCCCATTTCATGGATGAGAAACTGAGATTTATTTATTTATTTATTTATTTTTGGATAGGGTCTTGCTCTGCCGCCCAGGCTAGAGTGCACTGGTGTGATTGTGGCTCACTGCAACCTCCTTCTTGGCGCAAGCCATCCTCCTACCTCAGCCTCCTAAATAGCTGGGACCACACACACCTAGCTGATTTTTTTTTTTTTCTTTTGGAGAGATGGGTCTTGGTATGTTGCACAGGCTAGTCTCAAACTCCAGGACTCAAGTGCTCCTTCCACCTCGGCCTCCCAAAGTGCTGGGATTAAAGGTGTGAGCTACTGTAGCTCGCCAAGAAACTGAGCTGTAGATACATTAAGTATCTCTTTAGGATACCCAGCTGATCCCAAAGCCTGTACCCTTCTCCTTTGCCAGATCCTACACGCTAGCAGAGACTGATGCTGGGCTGGGACCGGAATTTCCCTGGTCCATAGCAGAATGAGAACTAGGAAGAAAAGGGAGTATTAAATAAAGGTAAACTCGCTCACTTTTTTTTTTTTTTTTTTTTTGAGACGGAGTTTCGCTCTTGTTACCCAGGCTGGAGTGCAATGGCATGATCTCGGCTCACCGCAACCTCCACCTTCTAGGTTCAGGCGATTCTCCTGTCTCAGCCTCCTGAGTAGCTGGGATTACAAGCACGCACCACCATGCCCAGCTAATTTTTTGTATTTTTAGTAGAGACGGGGTTTCACCTTGTTGACCAAGATGGTCTCGATCTCTTGACCTTGTGATCCACCCGCCTCAGCCTCCCAAAGTGCTGGGATTACAGGCTTGAGCCACTGCGCCTGGCTACTCGCTCACATTTTAAAAGCAATCTTTTATTCTGAGATTCTGTCCTACATCTGTTGGTGTTGAATTGTTTTTCTTTGATATGATAAATCTAGCAAATGACTTTT